CCAAGGCCAGTGACCCAAGCTGGGCCATTATAGTATCTTATACTTCTGGCCACAGTCTCAAGGTAACCTGATGGGAAGAATGAGAATCTTGAGTACATTTTTGTGAACTATAACTGGAGTGAGGGTCCCCTTCCTCTCATAGCAAAACTGTTCGTATGTCTGTACCAAACTACTAACATACAACACAGACAGGCAGAAGTGCAGTGGGAGGGAATCAAACCGAGGTCCACAAGAAGCAGAGAGGAAGCCCAGTTCCATAAGACCTTGGTTCCCATGTGTTCCACTATGCCCCTGCCTTTCTAATTACATGCACTGCGAATCCATCCAAGGGCCCAAGCTAGCTAAACTTGAGTCTTTGTCCCAAGTAATAAAAGGTGCAGAAATTGAGACTTGAATAGTTTAAATGACTTAACCAAGTTTATACTCAGACAAACAGTAGACAGATCCTCATACAAACCCAGGGTGTTCTGGCCGCTGCACACTGTTGCCAAGTACAGGGTTCTAAAGTGATGCACACTTTCTTGCCTGAGGAGAATCTCCAGTCTATATGGTTAAATGAACAACAACAACAAAAATTAGTCAAGACCCAGGTTCAAATTTGGACAAGCTCAATTACTGAAACATTAAGCAAATAAATAACTCTTTGGGGACCACTTATAAAATGAAATAATATCTCCCCTGCTCATTCTATAGGTGTTTGGTTAATTAAGGATGCTAATTCAAAACAGTAAAGAACCTGCCCCAAGGTAAGTGATGCTAATCTCTATCAGCAAAAGAAATGTGTATTGAATCTATTCACTCCCTTGTTGCTAAAACCTACAATCTTAGGGGTGGGAAACAGAAATCAAGAATGTTATCTCATTCATGTTAATTTCCATCTGAATAAACAGTCACTTCTGTGTTATTGTTGTTACTGAACGTTTATTGAAAGCCAGACAGGGTCTGGGTAGCTTGGAAAATACAAAATCTAGAGAAGTGTCTGGGAAAGGCAGGAAACCCAGAGCAATGCTTGGCATGGTACTTGGGAACAAGAAACCAAATGTGTGGTTCCCAAGTCCCCTTTAGAATTAACATAGCACTGTGTTCACATTATTGAGCCTGTTCTGCACTGCCTTTTTCCATTCTCCCCTCTCATGGGGCATTTTGGAGACTGGTAAGATAATTCAGTGTACAGGTCTTAGGGGACAGAGTATGATGTTATGTAATTAGGCTTGACTCTGTTTATTGCAGACACCACTTCATTTTGAAAACAGAATTCTGTCTTTTCCTTTGGGGCATTTTTTTATGATATCGTAAGGATGTCAGTGTTTCTGTTTGCTGCACAGGTATACTGTGCTTAGACAATAGGAAATTTTTGGCCTGAAAATGTACATGTAAATCACATTTCATCAAAATCAAATTATATACAAAATACACTCGAGGCGCTCACTATTTGTAGGGTCCCTGTGGAAAATCATACAAGAGGCAATACTGCATATAGGAAAGAATGGAGGGTGGGAGTCAGAAAATCAAACTCAAGCCCCAGTTCAGTCTCTTCCCACTTGTGTGACTTTTGGTAAGTCTTTTAAACTTTGCCCAATAGTTTTCACATCTGTAAAATGAAGATGCCATGAGGTTTGTTTGTTTTTTTTTTACCTGTTTTATGGATTTTGTGAGCACCCAGTGAAATGTTTTAGAGAGGGATAAAGAAAGGCTAAATCCATATCCTCTGGAATTTCAAACCCTCTTCATAAAAATCCACTTACAAGAATTGGAAACAACACAGAGGAGAAAGCAATGGGTATGAAAATGAAGCCATTTTAAGCAACAAGCATATTGCTACACATAGCCAGATTCCATACATTATATTTCTTAAGTTAATAAAAAGAAGGTATAACTGATTCTGCCACTGTTTACTATTTTGTGCCCTGGAAAATCTCAAACAGTCTTACACTTGGGTGGCACTCACTTATTCTCACAATAAAGGTCACCAGCAACCTAATAAAAAATAACTCATTCTTAGAGGTGCCCCAGTTGCACAAATCACTTGCATGCCTTAAGCTATTCATTTAAGAAGTCTTTTCTATCACAAGACATGTTTCTCAGAATGTGATTCTCAAGACACCAAAGTCAGAATTACCTAGATTTATGTAGCAAATGTAGAATTCTAGATCAAGCCCACATTTGGCTAATTAGAATCTCTGGGGATGTGTCTGGATAATTTGAGTTTTAACAAACACACATACACACAGATAAACACACATTAACCCACTCCTAAGTGTAATTCCAAAGTTTGAGAACAACTTTCAGGTTTCCAAGAGTAAGAAAAACGATGACATCTTTAGAAGAGCCTGGCTCAGTAGAAGTTCCTTTAATTTCCTGATGTTCTTTTTGTCTTTGCTAAATGTAATAAACACTTCTAGTAAGTCCTGGAAATTCATCATGCCATAAAAAGTTAATTAAAACTAACTTAAACCTGTAAAAAAGAATCAGTCCCTGAAATTCTAATATTATGTAAGTATACATGTACGCTGTGAAGCATTATAGAAATGTTATGTATTATGTGCCTAATCATCTGCTGGCTCAGTTTTTAACATTTAGATTATTCTTAACACCTGGGGTTTTTTTTTAATGGAGCAGGACTGTGATCAGAACAATGGCATGATCAATTGGGATGCTGTCCTTCTGCAAGATAGGGAAGAGCAGGTACTACATGACTGTGGGAACCAGGTAGGTATCTGGCAATTGGGATGGTAACTGCCAAGAAATGTAAGTGTCTGAGGTTTTACCCTACTGGAAGGCTAACTTGTTTCATGGCTGCTGTTAGAAGATACAAGATCCCTGGATCAGGGAAAAGGATTTTATTACCCAAGCCACAGGAAGCAGCAAGAATTTCATGCCTGCATCAGTTTTCCTTGCGTAGAGATGCCCAGGTTGGTGCTATGTACACTGTGGGTTTGTATCACAGTTGAGAATCTCAAGCTTAGGAAACCCCAATCTTATGATAGGCTACATGCAAACTTGCCTAACCTTTGCTCCAGAGAGAGACGTGCTGGACGAAAGCAAACCTCTGCTCTGGAGGAAGACACTATTTCTTTTTTCCAAGATGTTTCACTATCAAACATCCTTGAAAAGGTTGTCTGAAACAAAGAGCTGTCGGTGCCTCTGTTCACTATTTGTGCAAGAGATGCATGTAGAAGTAGAATTCTCTTCAACAGTGACTTAGCAGGTTCTGAAAAAAACCTGGAGTCACAAAATAGCATCAGCCCATTTTATCATTCATCTGTACCAAAAAAGAAAATGGTGAGATTAAAATTTTAAAAGCCCAACTCTACTCCCTCCACTTCAAAAAAATATAAGCAAAGCATGCAGCCTGGTACACAGTAGACATTCAACAAGTGCTGATACCCATTCTCAGGCTCCCTGCACATATCCTCTCACATAATCTTGGTGCTCATTTATTCTTTTCTTTGACATGTCCTTTTATTTTCATTGTTTTCATCTTTATAAAAACAATTGATGCTGCAAGTACCATTCACAAAGGAATGTGTCCTAGATGATCATACCTATAACTTCCCCAAAGGTCCAAAGAACGTTTTTGGATGTTTTGTCCTGGAGTTGGTCTTGAGTTTCTGCACATGTGATACACTAGGTGGTGCTAATTGACTGAGCTGAGCCAGGACACTCTTTGCAGCGAGGGTAAAGGCTAACTAAACCTCACTGAATAGATGTTTTTATACATGTCAATCTCAGGAGCAAATCTCAATTATTAATAACTATGCTTCTTGAAGATATAAAGAGAAAATGCTATTAATAATGATCATGGCCATTTCCTTCCCAAATTATGTGTATTTACCTGCTTTGCCAAGGACAGAATTCAGCTCTAATTCTGCAGACATTGTCAGGTAATTGCTATGTTCAAGAAAAGCTCTAGCCTGAGTGAAATCTCCTAAACTAGAAAGTTGCCTTTCCTGGAGGGGCAACAATATAGAGAAGTGCTTTGTAGAGCAAGGTAGAATTTTCTTTCCAGATGCAGGCATGCTCAGGCAAGAACCTAAGACTATAGCCAGGTGTAGGGGAAAAAAATTCCTCTGCTGGTCTAGGTCAACAAACCAGTAAATCACTAAACTAATTTACCTTTACCAATTTGTCTTATATGGTCAAAAACATAATTTACAGAAAAAGAAAGTCTTATCTGAGTTTATTGTTCAGACTAAAAGCAAATCAACCAGTATGTAATCCAGGGCTAATATGAAACATAAAGATATATATGAATCATACTTCCTCTGTATTGTATTACAGGAGAAATATAGTTCTAATTTGTAAATGTTCAAAGCATCTCTCGCCCTTAAATAACGCTGATTTATAAAAGTAAACACACAAGCCAGCTTTTACTGTCTTTGTCTCTTATGAGTGCTGATGCATTAGGCAGCATTCTTGCAATGCCACACCAATGTGCCCCTACAACGTAAGGTCAAAATAAAACTGTTCCAATTCTTTTTGTTATTTTTCTAAAGAGATAGAGGTCTCACCAGGTTGCCAAGGCTGGTTTCCAACTCCTGGGCTCAAGTAATCCTCTCACCTCAGCCTCCCAAAGTGCTGGGATTATAAGCATAAGCCACCACACCCAGCAACTGTTCCAATTCTAAATGACACCTCTGTCTAGTGGAATTCCCAAACCAGGTCTTTCATTCTCCATTACATAAGTCATGAAAGTGTCTTTGTGAATGGCTGCACCTGGAAGTTTGATGCCTAAAGGGTTTTTCTTTATGTAAACTGGATTATATTTAAGTAAAGATATCCACCCCATAGCTGCAAAGGACTAATTATTATCAGTGAAAGAAGTTAAAAAGATAGATAGATAGATACATAGATAGATACATAGATAGATACATAGATATATAGATAGATACATAGATAGATAGATATAAATTATTGGTAATATATTAGTTCTTGAATGAGTAGCATCCATTATATTCTAAAAACATAAATAAGCAAATAAAATAAGAAGGCTAATCATGAAACAATGACAATAGTATTTTATGAAGCAAGGACTATAATTTATCCAATTCTATGTACTTAAATAACTAGAATAAGTCAAAGGTAGCATAATATTCCACATCAGTGTGATCCTATGCCTAGATATCTGCCCTATTAACTACTCAACTCAGTCCTGGGAAATAATGTGGGCAAAAATATTTCAGAATCAGGATGTCTGGTTCTTCCACATTGGTGGGAACTTGAGTGAGAAAGAGTCATGCTGATACTCTTACAAGGCTTCAGGTCAGAGTAAGGGGACAGGTGCCTCCTTCCTGAAGAAAGAAGATGTACAAGGATCAGAAGAAACATTAGAAGTCACGTCCTGTTGTTACAGGATCTTTGGAGTGTAGATATTCTGGCCAGAAACCTCTATGGCTACAGCACCTTTGCCCAAGTTCTTGTCCTGAGTCCAGGAAGAATGAGGTATGCAGACAAGTAAAGGGTGAACAAGACAAAAATAAGCTTTACTGGGTGTCACAACAGCTCAGAGGAGACCTGCAGTGGGTAGCTCCTCTCTGTAGGCAGGTCATCCGTGGGGTATTCAGTCCTCAGCAGATAGGTGGTTCTGGAGAGGATAGCTCCTCTCTGCAACTGGTCATCCTGATGTCTACAGCTCTTCAGCTCTCCACAGAGAGGAGGCCCTGGAGAGAATGGCTCCTCTCTGCCAGCAAGTTGTCTCTGCAGCTCTCAGCAGAGAAGGTAGCTCCTCTCTGCAACTGGTCATCCCATCCTCTCTTTCTCTCCTCTGTTTCCCTGGCCATCCTCTGCCCTGCTTTGGCTGAGCCCAGGGTTTTTTGTATCTATTGGTCCATGGGCCATGAGTGGCCCAAAAGAGGCCCCACGACTACTCACACCCATACACAGGACTGGCAGCCCAGCCTACAGCCTTCAGGCTCTTCCCTGCCTGAAGGTGGGGCCTTACTGGGGCCACCCCTTCCACCCAGGACTTTACCTCTTGCTGCCATGCAGGCCCCAGGGCTTGGCCCCAGCCCCACTCAGAGATCCTAGCAGACACTGGGAGAGGAGAGGGAAGGGGTTTTCCTGGGGTGCCCAGGATACAGGCTGCAGGGACACCAGGGTCCTGCACCTGGGAGGGTGGGAGCTCCCTCACCATCAACTTGGAAGCAGGCAGGGCTCCTGTTTGTCCCCAGTTCCTGCTCCATGAAACAGGAGCCCCAAGTTTGTAGCCTTGGACCTGGCCACTACAGCTGCACCCAGGAGGTCAGATCCTGCCTGTTCCCGGCCCCCACCCAAGAGCACTGGGAGGCTCCAATCTACAACTGCAGTTTGGGGGGCTGTGGCCCCACCCAGGAGGGCAGGGCTTCTTTCTGCCTGCTCCACAGAGCAGGAGGCCTGGGTCTGCAGCCACAATTTGGGCAGGGGCAGCGGCATGCCGGGTGTTCCCACTCTAACTCAGAAGGGGTGGGGCTCCCACTGGCTCCATGGAGTGTGCAGCCACTGTCATCACTGGAAGAATGCCAAGTCCAAAGTCTGGAGCTTCTAAAGCAGCACCTTAAGCAGGAGAGTTACACAAAGATCAGTAATTCCAATGTGAGGTCAGGAGAGTAAGAAACAGACATAAGGCATCCTTCCTGCAAGAGACCCTCTACAATCAGAACCTAGGAGTGTAATCACAGAAACTTGGGACTAAGGGTAAGCTAGAGAGAGGCATGGCTCAGAAGATGAGAAAAAAGCATTCTCTAGCTTTGCTCAAGGTTCACAAGCAAACATTTTCTGTATCAATCCTTGATGTTAAAGGTCTTCTTAAAACAAAAGAGCATATTTAGTTCTTTCAGTAAGTACAGCATGATAAATACAATGTAATACCTTTGATTCATTATTGGGAGTATTCATCTATTTATTCAGCAAACATTTACCTATTCTGTTCTTGGGACTGTGTTATGCATCAGTGTCACTGTAAGGAAAATACAAGGGAGACATAGAAGTTGTGTCTCCAAACATTGGACTGAATTTGTTTCCTTCCAAATGAGCTCCAAATGTGACTTTAATATCTCTGATAAGAGCCTTTCCTACTTACATATTCCTAGTAACAATTTTAAGTGTTTAAGATAATGCATATTAAAATGTCGGGCCAGACATGTGGTAACATGTGGCTCCAACTTGTGATCCCAGCAGTGTGAGATGCCAAGGCAGGAGGATTGCTTGAGGCCAGGAGTTTGAGACCAGCCTGGGCAACAAGTGAGACTCTGACTCTAACAACAACAAATGTCTACTGATTGGGTAGTCCTGGTTAATTTAGGATGTGTTACATTTCCTGTGCTGTACTTGTCCCAAATGTAAAAGCCTAAAAGCTCCATTTTCATTATACTGTCTTCTTGCCAGCGGGGCACCCGATCCCCTTCCCAAGACTCTAGAACGCTACAGATGCTAATAATAATGCCTTGGAGTCCAAAACAAACACATTAGCAAGCTCCTGAAGTGTGCAATGAAAGCCAGCAGGGACTTTCCATCCTGTCAAGCAAATTCATCAGAGACCTTAGCCCAGTCAGTTATCAGGTTAAGCATAATTCTTTGATGAACTTGTTAAAAGAAAGTAAGTAAATTGGAGGCTATTCAAAGTCAGGGGCCATGTTCTCGACTTCTTTGTAACTCCCCACAGTAAACTAGTATAATGCGTGGTTGACAGTTATTCCTCAATTAACAATTAGCTTTTGTTGATTTATCCCTTTTATGTGTTTTTCAAGCAAAGAATAAGGCAGAATGAGAGTTATATGAGCAACAGGATATACTTGACACATTTTCCTAAAACATCAAATTCACTCAAAGATTTGACATAAGACATTACTTTTTCTATTTTTAAAAAAGGACAATGCAAACATCTGAATGAATTTGTTAAATAAAATATGAAACATCAAAGACAATTCACATTTATAGCTGGGCATTTGAAGACATACCTTCAGAACATAGGTGATGCATTGTCGCTTTTTCTCTTTAGTGGCAAAATCTGCAGCAGACTGCTTGAGGCCTGGCTCCAAACACACACACACACACACACACACACACACACACACACACAGAATTTGCCTCCCCCTCCACACCAGAAAGCATATATTTAAACCTAGAAATTCTACTTTTAGAAACTTACCATAATAAATAACTCTTATAAATCAGAATGCAAAACACAAATGATAACAGCTGTTCACTTATAATTACTTTTATAATTATAAAAAATGTTGCACATTGTAAATGTCTCTCATTTAGAGAATGGTAAAACAAATTATGGGAATGCCATCTGATAAAATTCTACTTAAAACAATGGTGCAGATCTACACTTATTAACACTGAAAGATGTCTACAATATGCTAAATAAGCAAATTTAAAAATAATAAGATCTCAATTTGTTTTAAAATAATGTTTAAAAGATATGTATGTGTAACCATATATACATATATTCAGAAAATAGTCTGTAAGGATATGTAACAAAACAATAACTATTTCTGAGTGCTAGACTTACAGGTGATTTTTTCTTTTTTGTACTTTTCTATAAATTCCTAACTTTTTATATGAACATATGGTAATTTAAAAAATAAAGTTATTGAAGAAATTTGTATGATACAAAAAGTATAAAGAAAGAAAAAAGTCATTCCCAAATCTTGCCTTCTAAAAATAATCATTGTTTTATTAGGTGATCATTAATCTGAAAAGATGGCAATCATCTCAGGTATCTCTATATACATAAATATACCTAGACATGTGAATTAGCAAGATAAGTGATCACTATATAGGCAAATTAAAGTTTAATAAGCTAGAATCACATGAATGCTACATTGACATAGAAAGCACTAAATCTAAGTATTATTGACTTTAAAATAAAAGAAGAAACTGAAGTTCACTAAAAGAATTGTTCAGATTCAGCTAAAATTTTTATCACCGTAGAATATTTTGTTTTCTAAAATATCTAAGATTACAGAAAAAAACTATAAAACAAAAAGTTTAAATTATCAAATAATTAAACTATATGTTAAATATAGACATTATCAATTGACTCCTTCCTAAACAAGTTAAGAAAATTAGCAAGATTTCACTTCCTCCCACATACTCATTTTGGTTGGTTTTTGTTTTTATACTTGCAGATTTTATAACATTTACATTTGCTTCTACAGCCATAATTCTTACAATTTTTAAGTCTTAGATCAATATCTAAATGAAGCCAATCATCTCCACCTATTCTTTTGTCTTCTCCATTCCATAGTTTTATATATATTTTTTTTTCTTTTTTTTTTTTTTTTTTCTTTTTGAGATGGAGTCTCACTCTGTTGTACAGGCTGGAGTGCAATGATGCGATCTCAGCTCACTACAACCTCCATTCCACCTCCCAGGTTCAAGCAATTTTCCCACTTTGGCCTTCCAAGTAGCTGGGATTACAGGCACCTGCCATCATGTCCAACTAATTTTTGTATTTTTGTAGAGAAGGGGTTTTATCATGTTGGCCAGGCTGGTCTTGAACTCCTGACCTCAAATGATCCCCTACCTTGGTTTCCCAAAGTGCTGGGATTATAGGCATAAGCCAGGGTACCCGGCCAATTTATTCTTTGGCTATCAATATTTTATCAAATAGCATTTTTTCTCCAATAAGCTTTCATATGTGTCATATTCACTGAGTTATTGAATGTTTAGGAATAACTTTCTGTTACCATTCTATACGAATTACAGTTTGGCTGGGTATTACATTCTTTGGTTATGTTTTCTTCCCCTAATTGGTTTTCACTATATGGAATATATATATTCTATAAATAATATATATGCCTGTAATATATTTCTATATCATATGTTTTATTACGTTTTCTGTGCTGTTTTCTACTTTGGTGATACCAAATATCTTTCCGACATATCAGCTTTTTCTCTTCTATATTATCCCTTATCTAATTATTTAAATGTATTTTATGCACTGATTCCCTTAAGCCTTTCTTCCACATCAATAATTCAGTTTTAAGCCATGTCTAACCTATTCATTACCATATAAATTAGTTCATAATGGTGTTGGTCTTCTGTTTCTTTCAACTCTGTGAATTCCCTTTCATTTCATTCTGCTATTTGAGAGCTTGTTATATCTGTCATGTTCTTACTAAATCCTTCTATATACAAAACACTCAAGAATGTTTTTTCATTTTGAGTACACTTTTTTCTAGAGAAGTTTCTTTCTAGTCCTTCATTGTCATATTTCTTTTTCTCCTTCAAAGCCAGACTTCTTAAAGATCTCCATTTGCTTAATTCTGACTCACTCCTAAACCATGTCAATTTGTTTCTGACCCAGCTATTCCAGCAAAAACTGCTCTCAGCAGGTCACTAATGACTTCCTTATTGTTAAATACAATGAACTTCAGTCTTACTTGTACCCTTGGCAACATTTGTTGTGGCTAATCACTCCTTCCGCTAAACGCTCTTTCCTTGGCTTCCATTATGACACACCCTCTGGTTTTCCTTCTACCTCTCTAATTACTTCTCAGCATCTTTTATGGAGTTTTCTTCCTCTGCTTTTCCCTTAAATTTTCTGTTCTATAAGGATTATGCTAGAATCTTGCCTCATTCTACAAACTCTCAGTGTTTGAATCTATCTACTCTTCTGGCTTAAATTATATCTACACACAGCTTCTAATTTATAGCTCCATTACCAAATATCTCCCTAGCATATCTAATTATTTATTGGACACTTTGGATTGGATTTTCCATAACCTATTCAAACTCATCAGGTTCTAAAGTGAACTCATAATCTTCTATTCCCAACCTGCTCCTCTTCTGTTCTCTGCTTCTCTAAAAAGAAACTATCCAACTTGGGGGATTTCTTTAACTCTGTTTTTCTCCTCATAGCTAACCATCAGGCCTACTGATTTTACCTCCTAATAAAATTACCTTAGCTACTCTCTATCACCACTGCCATAGCCTATTTCAAGTAACTACCGTCTATTTCCAGTTTTACTGCAATAGTCTCAAACTTTCTAAAGTGGTTCTACTAAAATTCAAATCCGATCACGCCACACCCAATACCCCTTAAAAATCTTTCAATAACTGGCCACTGCCCATGAGATAGCCTCCAAACACCTTAACCTGGTGTAAATGATCCTTCATGATTACAATCTCTTGATACTTGTCCAAATTCATTTTGTGTTTCATGTATACGTTCTGGTCAAGATAAACTACTTACAGTTCACTAAAAATAGGTTCTCTTTCAGCTTTGCATGTTATTCCATCTACTTTAAACATTCTTGCTCCTCCCATTGGCCTGGCTAAGTCTTAACCATCCTTCCACTGTCAATTTAGAAGTTCCTTCTTCCAGGAAACTTTCTCAGATTCCCAGTTTCAAGTATCCCCCTCCTAAGTACTCTCACAGGACCTTGAACTTCATTAACACATTTTCCCATAAAAAATTGCCTTTTTCAGAACCCAGCAGTGATGGGGTGGTGGAGACCCAAAGGAGCCCCGGACTTCACCTGAGCTACCTCAGTGGTCACCAAGAGTGGCAAGATAAAGAAAACCCTGAGTTGGGCGGGACCAGGATGCCTGATCGGGACAGCTATGCCAACGGCACCGGGAGCAGCAGTGGAGGCCCTGGAGGTGGTGGCAGCGAGAAGGCCAGTGGGGCAGGAGCAGGCAGTGGCGTGGCCAGCTCAGATGCCATCTGTAGAGACTTCTTGAGGAATGTGTGCAAGTAAGGCAAGCGTTGCCAATATCGCCACCCAGACATGAACGAGGTGTCCAACTTGGGGGTGAGCAAAAACAAGTTCATCTTCTGCCATGACTTCCAGAATAAGGAGTGTAGCCGCCCAAACTGCCGTTTCATCCATGGCTCCAAGGAGGATGAAGATGGCTACAAGAAGACAGGAGAGCTTCCCCCACAGCTGAGACAGAAAGTAGCAGCTGACCTTGGCCTTTCTCCGGCTGACTTACCAAATGGCAAGGAGGAGGTCCCTATCTGCTGTGACTTTCTCAAGGGGGACTGTCAGAGAGGAGCTAAGTGCAAGTTCCGTCACCTGCAACGGGATTTTGAGTTTGATGCTCAGGGTGGCGGAGGCACTGGTGGGGGATCAACAGGCTCAATCCCCCCAGGACGACGTCATGATCTTCTATTATATCTATGACCTTCCTGACAGGGCCTTTGAGGACCATGAGCCAGGCCCAAAACGCCGGCAAGGTGGATGCTGCCCCCCTGATGGTCCTCATTTTGAGTCATATGAATATAGCTTGGCTCCACCGCGAGGGGTAGAGTGCAGACTGCTAGAGGAGGAGAATGCCATGCTCAGGAAGCGGGTAGAGGAACTAAAGAAGCAAGTCAGTAACCTGCTGGCCACCAATGAGGTATTACTGAAACAAAATGCTTAGTTCCACAATCAGGCTAAGGTCATAACCCTGAGCTCCACTGCACCAGCGACTGAGCAGACTCTGGCCCCCACTGTGGGCACTGTCACTACTTTTAACCATGGCATTGCCCAGACTCACACGACTCTCAGCAGCCAGGCTCTACAGCCTCGTCCAGTGTCCCAGCAAGAACTGGTGGCCCCTGCTAGAACTCCAGCTGCTCCCCCAACTAACACTGCACCTCCTGCTGCTCCACCACCCCCACCCCCACACTTGAACCCAGAGATCACACCACTGTCAGCTGCCCTGGCTCAAACAATTGCCCAGGGAATGGCACCCCCACCTGTCTCCATGGCTCCTGTGGCTGTATCTGTGGCTCCTGTGGCCCCTGTGGCCGTATCGATGGCCCAACCCTTGGCAGGAATCACAATGAGCCACACCACCACTCCCGTGGTAATTTACCCTATTGCTTCCCAGACCATGCGCATCACAGCCATGCCACACTGATGGGGCTAATGGACACTCCCCTGGTATAGCCTCCTGTGGCTGGGGTCAAGGAGCCCTTGCCCACTTTCCTAGCCCTCCCCAGCCCTGTCTGAAGGACTCCCTTGAGAACTAGGACAAGAGACTACAAGGAGTAGTCCTGAGGAGGGGCTGGGTTGGTGTGTTTTCTCTCACCTCCATTTTATGAGGGTCCTCTTGTCCATCTTCAAGCCTCACAGTGGGGGCTTGCAGAGGAGTGCAGACTGAAGCCAAAAGAGAGGAAGGACTGACTCAGGGCCTGTGTCCTCTTATGGGAATTTGGGAAGATCCCTCATCTTGTCCTCTCTTCTACACAGCATAGTTTCCAGCACTGGTTTTGGAAGAAAAAAATACCCTGCCCAGAGGGAAAGCCAGGAAAGATTGAGAAGTGGGTGGTCAGGAGAGAAGGCCTGATAGGAGCCTTCAAACAATTTGGGTCCTAGTTGGTTGGGTTGGACAATACAGGAATTGCTTCTGGGCCCTGGGAATGCTGGGACCATAGTGCTCCAGCCCAAAGACTAGGGGAGCATTCATTACCCTAGCTTGGCCTGAAAATCCGTAGGGCAGGGCCCACTACTTTCCAAAGAAATAAAAGAACAATTATTTTTAACAAAAAAAAAATAATAATAATTGCCTTTTTACTTATCTAGAAGCTAGACTGTAGGTATCACGAGGCGGGTATGATGTATATCTTTTTCACAGTTGCATCCCCAGCCTCTAAAAAAGAATGATTTTCAAATGATTGAATCAATGGGAGAATTTAGCTTTACAGAGAAAGAGAAGCAAACTAACATATAAACTAAAAATACCTCTTCCTTAGAGAATGAATGAAAGGATAAAAGAGTATATGCCTTGCTTTTGTTAGTTCTTGACAGAAAATATTAGGCTTAGTCAAATGGCATAGCCCCAATACTCGACCATTTTTTAGCTACAAAAATGACAATTTTATACAGCTCAACTTAATACATTTTGATAGTTTGACATACAAACTATTAAACCTGGAGAAACCCAGTCCTGATACCAAAGATCAAAGGCTAGAACCAGACCACTAATCTTTAACCCCTTTCTGTGACCTTTAATCAGCAAATTTTGAGAAATGAATGAAGTATAAACATACATACATTAGATAGGACTGAAACATTTGAAGCTGAACCACTTTTAGACAAGAAATGCACTGAACCGGGTGGCCTAAATTCTGAGACAAGTGTTTCTGATTTCCCTATGCATAGCCAGAGATTAAGCCTGATATTTTTCTCTAAAACACAGTCATTCATCTTTGACCAGTTCCTGAGAAAGGAAGCCTCTTTTGAAGCAGGTACAATGACTGGTTAACATACAATGCATTCATTAAAACCTCATATGCCAACTGGTGCTTAATAACTTATTTAAAAAATATTCATGGTGACAGAAATGGAAAGATTTAGTGCCTTTATTTGAATTAAAATGTTCAGATTCTTTATTAAAGTTTGCTTTAATAAAGTGGCTTCTTTTTAGGATTGTCATTCCCCTACCATGTATACTAATAAATTCAAGAAAGGTAGAGAGAACTTAAGATAGGCTCTATTTCAGATTCACCTCTAATAAAACCACTGAAATGGATGAAAATTAGAATTGTCATTTATTCCCTAGCAACCAAATAAATTTTATAAAGCTAGACATTGGTCCTAAATTTTCTTTATATTGTCTTTTATTGTTAACATGGTTAATCTCTTCTCAAATGGGAGGCTATGTGTATTACCAAAAAAACTGGAGCAATGAAAAAAACTAGTGAAATCAGGCAACAGCCAAGTTGGATCATTTATGCTCCAAATGTTCCTTTTCATCCACCAGTGTTTTTTCTCCAGACATAATCTTCCACATAAGTATAGCTTCATGCTAAATTGACATAATTCCAACATTACTAGTTGGTTTTGTCAATTTAATAGAGTAAAATTCAGTAATTTGGGATTAATGAAACAATTAATTGAACTGTTAACATTTCACCTGGTTGTGTTAACTCAATGTGATACAACATTATCATTTGATCAGGTCAAGCCTAGAAAGAATTCATTTGCTCTAAAAAGTGGACAATTCACCCATAAGCATAGAGTATTATTATAGAGACCTTTTCCCCTATTGTTTCATACTAGGCAATTTGAGCCATTGTGTTAAATAACATCACATTATACATTCAGCTCAGAATGGTAGCTTACAAAGAACTCTTTTCTCTTTTGTTCACTTTCGTTTGCCTAGTGCCTACTTTGTAAGCATTCAGATACTATTCACTGAATGAGTTAATGAAAATTATTATCATCAGTTGCCTAGCCTATCCAGACAAAACATTTTGTCTATAGAAAATCTGACCAATCAATCACATTCTATGTGTCATTCTATTTATCTCCCAACATAAAGACTTCTAGGTGATTATAAAACTGAAGAAGTACTGTTAGCCCCAGTACTGATTTGGGTTCTGGTCAGTGGCTTTCAAACTTAGCATGCATCATGCTAGTTAAGAATTAGCTAACATACAGATGGTTGAGCCCTAGGCCTAGACTTTCTGTTCAATAGGGACCTGAGAATCTGCATTTCTGGCAAGTTACTAAGTAAATCTGATGCTTCTGGTCCAGAGACTACATTTTGAGAACCATGAATTAAGAAAATCAGAGCATTTACTAAGAATAGTCTTTATTTTGTAGATAATATATTTTCCACAAATATCATGTCTACAAGTAGTAGATTTCTTGCACAAGTAACAAAACCTTAACAGTTTTCTGGAGTTTACTGTGTATTAGCATCAATGACATCCAACAGTATCTTATTAGTTCAAGTAGAACCTGTCAATTTGATAGCAAGAAGCAACTCTGCAACTTCATCACTCTTCTTGATACTATAATATTATCCAAAAATTTGTAGTTTTAAATTTGCTTTGCTAGGCATTATTTCTTATACTAGGTTTAGATGCCCTTCATACTATAAGACTATCTAGATAACATTTGTCAGAGAAAGCATTAACAAACTTTGTTGCTCTTCATCAAACTGAGGTATGTATGCCAGGCATATTAATAGTAAATACCTCCAAATAACAACAACCTATATTTGACAAAATGTTGGCACACTGGCAAAAACTACATTTATAGTAATACTATTTCTAGCTTCACCTTTGGAGCGTAGCCATTGAGACATCCCTATCTTTGTTAAAGATTTTACAGATACTTATAAAGGCTAAAAAATACTCATCTTTTAGCAAAAGCACAACCTCTTGCAGATTTTGGAAGCATGAATCTATTAATGCTTTTTTTAACAAAAGATGTGTTAAATAGAGTTAGTATCTATAGCTGTTCTAGTGGGAACAATCAGTCAGTAGATTTACTAATCCACACCTTTCTCTGAAAAGTATCACTTTCTTTTGAAGCCTGATATATCTCAGTAGAAAAGCAAAATAGAGAATTGAACATTTAGTCTATCAGTTGTTCAACAGGACCTCCAGTGTGTGTGTGTGTGTGTGTGTGTGTGTGTGTGTGTGTGTGTGTGTG